TGTATGGATGATACAGAAAGCATGGAACCAAAGATTGTCGATTTTATTCTTCCTAAAAGCCTCTAACACTCTGGTAGTCTCTCAAACAGAGTAGCCAGAGCTGAACATATGATACAAGGTTAAAATTATATCATGCATTTATCAAACTGAGTTTTAATTCTTAACATTCTTAAAGTGCCGATGTTGGAGCAGGGCTTTAAGAAGGGATCAGCATATTTAAAGGCTTAAATGATTCCAGTAGTAATGGTTCAGTGAGCTGTAGCTGCTCCAAACCAATAAATTCTTAAGATGCCTCCAGAATACATCCAGGTGGCCAATCCTTGAAACACAAATACTGAAACACCTCCTGGATGGGATTTCAGTGGTGGTGAGAACAGACTATTCTGATTTCACAGAGGAGAGTGTTTTCTTTCCTCATTCTTTTGACTTCTGTATTAAGCTTCCTTCTTTTCTGATTCCTCAGTACTTTCTTTGTTTTCATATGTTTTAAACTTATTCTTTAGATTTTTCATGTTCCTCTTATTTTCCTCTATACAGTTCATCATAGTGACTTTTTAGTTGGCTTAGGAGAAGAGTTTGTTATTCAGTTGCATCTTTACTGTTATAAGTTAGTTTAAGAATTTAGACAACTCAATTCCAATTAAAATTGATAAATTTATTAAACAAGCGATAATAAAGCAAACAGCGCTGGGTGGTCTGGGGGGCAAGTGCCCCGCCCGAGACACACACACCTTGTTTGAAAACCGGGCTTTTTGTACTCTTTCGATATCAGTTGTTGAATATTCATTCATTGTCCCTTTGTTGCCTTAAAAGGCAACTTTCCTGCTTTGGAGGTGGGTGTTACCCCCTGGCTGGTTGTCGAGTATCTCCCCTGGGCTCGTACAGGGGGGTCTTGCATCATCCCCACATTGCAAGGGATGGAGGGCCTCTCTCTGTATCCACATGGTACAGAGAAATACAATTTTATTTATAATTTGTTCCCTGTTCCCGGCCGCAAAAGATTCCCTGGTGTTAGATCCAGACAGGACCCCTCACCTTACAGACTCCACGGTACACCTAGAAGTTAGTAAATATACAGAAATAGTTCTTTTATTAGTACCCCCTTTTTATTTTAATTTGCTTGGAATAAAAACCGGTGCCTTCACTTATCACATTTACCATCGTCTACATGTGGGTTCTAATAGATGTCATTCTCAAAGCTGATCTTCAGTAGAGGGAGATTCAGCATTGTCTTGTGAAGAGCATGTGTGTAGGTGTCACAGAAACGTGAATAGTAAACTGGATGACCACCTTCCTTATCCAATAATAGTATGAGAAAATAGTTTTTCTGGATATAAACAAGTAAAACTTGGACTTCAGTGAATGAAAAGGTCCTTCAGGTCACACTTTGTGTTGGAGTATCTACCTAGGTTGTAGCCATTCATTTACTTTCCTGTAATGCAAATTGCATACTATACTTGGCATTATTTTATTTGGCTGATGACTGCCCACCAGTCTACAACTTGTAATGATTACATATCAGCAATTCTCCATAATAATTTCTTATTGATATCTCTCTTACAATATAAAGGATGATTTTAGAGATAAAACCTGTTCTCTGACCACATCTGTTGTTGTCGGTTTCTCTGTGCTTATATGAATCTCTGTTTGAAATCCCTGCAGTTCCCCTCACACCAGCAGTCCCCTAAGGTTCTATCATGGCCACATCCTCCCCCTAATTTCTGTAACAAACTCCAGCTGTGCTAAAGGTGGATATAATGCTGTGTATTGTTGCTCTACCTCAGCTCGGCTCTGAAGCAAAAATAACTTTGAGGAATGCCAGACTGTGGAGTTGCTAGTGTTCTCCATTTCTCTTATTTACAATAACAGAATATCTCAAGTTGGAAGGAACCCATAAGGATCATCGAGTCCAACTCCCTGCTCCTCCCAGGACTACCTAAAACTAAAACGTATGACTGAGAGCATTGTCCAGATGGTCCTTGAACTCTGATAGACTGGGTGCCATGGCCACTTCTCTAGGAGCTTGTTCAGTGGTTGACTACTCTGTGAAGAATCTTTTCCTAATGTCCAATCTGAACTTATGATGCAGCTTCATTCCATTTCCTTGTGTCCTATTACTGATCAGCAGAGTCAGGAGATCAGCACCTCCCTCTCCACTGTTCCCCGTGAGGGAGGTGTTAGGTTGTAATGAGGTCATCCCTCAGACTTTTCTTCCCCAAGCTGAACAAACCTCATGAGCTCAGTTACTCCTACTAAGTCTTCCCCGAGGGCTTTCACCAGGGTGGTCACCCTGCTCTGGATACACTCTTAGTTTTACATCCTTCTTACACTGTTGTGCCCAAAACTGCACACAGTATTCAAGGTGAGGCCACACCAGTGCAGAGCAGAGCAGAGTGGGACAATCACCTCCCTCAACTGGCTGGTGATGCTTTGCCTGATGCCCCCCAGGATGTGGTTTGTCACTTTGGCTTTAGTGGCATTTGCATCTCTGTGTTTCCCTCTGATAGGCTGTGGGAGTTGCACAATTTTCACAATAAGCAGCCCAACCAGTTCCAGTTGGAGGAATGCACGTAAAGAACTAAACCTCGTATAATCTTTCTCTGTTCTCTCTGTGTTTGAGATACCTAATTTGCTCATTGCTCCTTACTGCTGCTACTGCTATAGGGAATCATAGAATTTTTTAGGTTGGAAAAGACCTCCAAGATTATCAAGTCCAGGCATTAACCTAGCACTGCCAAGCCCACCACTAAACCATCTCTCTAAGTATTCAGTCCTGTTAAAGCACAGAGAAATAATATTAAGTGAAATGGCAATTTACAGGGGTGGACACCCACAGGAAAACATGTCAGAGGGATATCTGCACAGTATGGACTTTAGGTACTTTGATTTACCCTGTCCACTTCAAAAAAGGAAGAACTGTAAGGCCATCAGAGGTAATAGGGACTTCCTGGATAACTGAATACACCTGTTTTCAGAACATGGGACAGCCTGGATAAAATATGACACTACCTCTTCAGCAACCTGCAGAGGCTGGAGTTACTGGGAGGTTGGAATTGGCATCTTTAGAAAAAATAGGGGACAGAAGAAATGCAATTTTTCATTAGTTAAAATAGTCCAATAGAATATTGTTCTGGTTTTGGCTGTGGTAGTTTTCTTCACAATAGCTAGTATGGAGCTATGCTTTGGATTTGTGCTGAAAACCGTGTTGATAATATAGAGATGTTTTTGTTACTGTTGAGCAGTGTTTGCACGGCATCAAGGCATTTTCTGCTGCTCACACCATCTTACCAGCGAGGAGGCTGGGAATGCACAAGGAGTTTGGAGGGGACACAGCCAGGCCAGCTGATCCCCACTGACCAAAGGGATATTCCACACTAAATGGCATCATGCTCAGCACATAAAGCTGAGGGAAGAAGAAGGAAGAATGGGGTGTTTGGAATTACTATTTTCCCCAGTAACTGTTACGTGTGACAGAGCCCTGTTTCCCTGGAGAGGACTGAACACCTGCCTGCCTATGGGAAGCAGTTAACTAATTCTTTGTTTTGCTTTTCTTTTGTGTGCAGCTTTTGCTTTACCCCTTAAAGTGTCTTTATTTCAACCCATGAGTTTTCTGACTTCTACTCTTCTGATTCTCTCCCTGATTCTGCTGGTGGGGAAGTGAGTGGCTGCATGGTGCTTGGTTGCCAGCTGGAGTTAAACCATAACAAGTATCTATATGGTAGTTGTAATAAAATGTTATGACAGTGGCACATAATAGAGTTGCATTTTTATCTGTCATCCTGTAAAAGTTATATTTACTGTGAAATTCAACATAGTCTTATTTGTACCTTTGTGAAATCTTTGTAGTCCTACAGAAGAAAGATGAATTACTACTAATGCTTTTGGTGTCTTGAGAAAAGTAGTATGGAGCTGCTTGTGGAGATAGATGCCCCAGAAGGGGCAGAACTCACCCAGCAATTTAGTGTGCAAAAAGAAAACAACAAAAAAGGACAATCCTTACTTGCAGAACAGTTTAGGCAAATCGTTGCTTTAAAGCAGATTACTTTTTAAATTTAGCTACTGTTGCTGCTTATAGCAAAAGATCACGAGAACTACAGCCAGTACTCTGGGCAAAGGACTACTTGAGCGGACTAGGATGATTGGGTACAAGAGGCTGAAAAAGATGTGACAGGAATCATTATCTGTGATCACAAGTCCCTCTGTTGGGCCTTCCATAATCCAAACAAGAGAGCTGAGATGTTGTGGAGGTGACGAAAAGAGGAAGACTGGAATTTAGGAGTGAAATGATAGATGAAAAATGAGATCGAGGTTTTTCCTTGAAGAGGAAAAATCTTTCAAAGATGTCAAGAAGTCAAGAAGATGTCAAGGTTCTTCAAGGAAAAACCTTGAAGAGATCAAGAATTTAACATTTTTACTGATGGGGTTAGTTGCTACAGCTTGACCTTCTGAGGCTTGCTGAGATCTCTCTGACCAAGTCTGTAAGACAGGCCTTGAACAATACAGGTTCAGAAAGAAAACACCCCTGTCAGATGCATTCTTGGTGTGGTTTCTGTCAGGCACAAAGTCGTGCTGCACAGCACAGGAGCTGGGGAGGTGCAGCAGTCTAAAACATGATTCTCTCAGTCAGCCCTACTACAATAGTTTAAAATGTGTTTCTCTCAGTCAGCCCCACTCTAGTGCACGAAACACAGGTGAGATTGGCTGGGAGGCCATTTAGGAAGCTCACTTGGTGGGTGCCCGGCCCTGTCCCAACTCTGGCATTGCAATAGTGAGTCAGCGTTTGCTGGGCTGGACCCTCGAACCCTCCGTGAGCCCCGTGCTCCGGAGCCCAGCCTGAGCTCCCAGCTGCCTGAGCGCTCCAGGGATCCACCAGCGCGGTGGGGAAAGGGGACAAAGCCTTCGCATCCCTGGGCTCGTCCGGGCACAGCTGCGGCGGCCGGAAAGAGTCCCAGTCAGCGCCCGGCTCGTCCCGGCGCTCCCGTTCCCTCTCCGCGGCAGGACTACATCTCCCGGCGAGCCCTGCCAGGGTTGTGCCCCTCTCCCGGCGTGCCGGGGGCGGCCCCGGAGGCAGGGAAGGGAGAAGAGGGGAGGAGAGGGAAGTGCGGTACCGAACGCAGCAGGTGAGAGCGGGCGGATCCCGGTGTTTCCCCCCCGGGGCGGGTCCCGTGATATCCCTGGGCTGGGAGCAGAGGAGTCCCCGGGCTGCTGGGGGGGGGGTTGTGAAGTTCCCAAACGGGAGGTGAACGGTGCCCCGGTAGGGGGAAGAGCTTAAAACTTCCCATCCAGTAAGCGGAATTACTTTTCCAAGCGATTCCGCGTGCCGGAGCCAGCGGGCACGGAGCTGCCGGAGAGCAGCCGAAAATGCCAGTGTTTTGGAGAGCGCAGCTGGAGGTATCCACCTATTGACAGTGCGAATTACTGAAGTCTGGATAATGCAGTGGGCCGGCTGGGGATACTTAGGTGGATTTGGGGAACAGGAAGGCCCTAATCTGCGTTTCTGTGGGGAGCGTAGATGCGACATTCCCGGCGGCTGGCTGGAGCCTGAGGTGCTTGCCCAGGTAAAAGGTTCCTGATAAGCTGGCCTTAATGCTGACACTGCTTGCGGCAACAACGATTTTATTCAGCATTCCTCGGGAACGTGGCCTGGTTTCCCAGATTAGTTAGAGTAAGTTGCTTAAACTATTGGCATATAAATGATTTTGGTTTGGTTTTGTTGCTCGTCTCAAAATGGGGATATGGAATTGAACTTTTATTATTTTGTTTATGAGTAATTTGCCAAACCTGAAAATTGTTTGGTTGAGTACTGTATACATAATTCCCTTTGCTGAGCAAGCCTTTTAGGGATGAGAAGAAAACCTTTTAAGTTTAATTACCGTATTTTGCTGCATAACTGAGCAATCTGCAAAGACTAAGCAAATTATGTACTTTCTCCTCAAGTTTGGCTCACTTTGTCAGAATTCAGTTGGGATTTTGACTGCCCAGCAGTTACAACATACCATAATCAAGTACATTGCTTAATTTTCTGACTCTGTTGAATTAGGGCGCTCTCTCTTCTCTTTTCTCTCTTCTCTTCGTAGCATAGCTTAATAAAAAGTAAGACAACTTGCCTGGTTATTGTAGGTGAACCTACAAGATAGGATCTGTTTTAGAGGCAAGTGTCTCAAGTTTACTTACAGAGTGACAAATGGAGAGTTAACATTTTGATCGGCATTACTCTTTGGAGAAGCCATGCTTCTCCCCTGAAGCAGATATTACTCCTGTCTGAAGTAAGCTAAAACTGAGACTTGAGTGCACAAATTGCTAATGGTTACTGAAAATCGATGGAAGATAGGCCCCAAAAGCAATTAAGCAGCTTTGAAAATCAATCCACGGTTAAAGTTGTCCAAGGACAAGGATTAGATCTTTGTCAGAGCTGAAGTCCTTGTGGGGAAGGTCCTGGCACAATGTCAAGTTCGTGACTCTTTGTTCTACATCTTTTCTAGTCTGAATTCATATACAATAACTTGTGTGTGATTTGCTTAAACTCTGCTTCTTTGTTATTTCTTCCAGAGTTTATTTTTTTCATATGTGTAATCATGGTGTTGAAGTAAATTATTTGAAATAGAGCACAGTTGGTAATAACCAGTGCAGCCAAAATCCACATGCAGAAAATAGATTTTTGATTACTGGGTGTTTTTAAAGGCCTTTTTCCCTCCCCTGTTGGTCTACTGTACTTTATGTATTTGATCATTCTGTAGGGCAACACCGTGCTTTCAGCCTGTTCCTTTATCTGGGTTTCAGCAAAACCTTTAGACTTGCTTAGTATTTGCAGGCATAAAATGGCAATGTTTTAATCTGGTAAGCACTGTGAAACAAGCTCAGGCTCCTTAGTAGAATATACAGGACCATTTTTTTCAGAGTAATTGCAACAGGTAAATAAAAAGATTTGAGGTAATAATTCCAGAATGGTAATACTCCCAGAAATTCTTATTGTTTCAGTAATAGTTTGTCAAGTAATTTGTCAGTGGAGAAGTAATAAAGCAGGGATGGGGGTGGTAGGTGACGTACAGCTTATAGCTCTAGGCAAAATGAATTGATTATCTCACATATTCCTATGCACATTTCTTGTATTGTAGTTGGAACAGTCAAATTTTGTGGCCAGATGAGCAGAGGTAAAGCCTTAGCTTTGTGGCAGAGTGTGCACTACTTCATTGGGCTTGCAAGAGTATTTTCTTCATGCAGTGCACAATCCCAGAACCAGGGCAGTCTTCTTTAAAGTGCAAGATCCAAATGTAGCAAATACTTCTCTAATTACTGTGTGAGTCCCTGAAGAAAAGTCACTTGGAAAGTAGAGCATCTTGCTTCTCTCTGAAGAGCTTTGGTCTGCTTGTAATTAATGTTGAAAATACTTTTTTCCCTTCTGAATACTACTACTGGAAAAGTCCTGGATTCTTCCTCTGAACACATTATTTTTAATTAAAAGCATCATTGTGTGTGTAAATGGGTATTTACATAAATAGTAAAGCACAAAAAAAATCTACCTCTGAAATGACATTTGCTTCAGTATCTTGGTCATGCTAGACACAGTTGGATGGCTGAGAGTGATTTGAATATACCCTGGGGTTTATGGTTGTTTTCTTAAAGCGGCATTATCAGCTTTTATATATATATATATCTAAGCATATTGTTACTGATTAAATGCTTTCTGACTGGCAGGGCTGGGAATATTTCTGTGGGAATTGTGGTAGCCATGCTTTTTTAAGTTGCTTTTTTTGATAGTGTATTTGCCAGAATGTGATCATGTTTATCAAGGGATCCTGCTGGGTTAAAGAACAGGAGCTGTTTTCTAGGTTTCTTCTCTGAAAAGTGAGCTGTTCTTGAACATTCCTCCAACTTTTTTTTTGGAACATCTGTGTTGGAAATTATTAGGTGTAACCCACAACACAAGTAAACACTCAGCAAACTTTTTTTTTCTCTGTTCTTTCTTTATCTCAAGCAATTCTCATATTTATTGCACCCACCAGTCAAATTTTATAAGCTTGTGAATTCTGTAGTGAGGACACGTAATTATTGCTCTCCCAGTTTTTTCTCTCTGTAGCCTGCATATGTTTTGCTCTCTAATAGAAGACAGCTCTTTCTCAGGTTAAATGGTGATGCATTATGAATCAAAACCAAAGCTCTGTTGAAGGACCTAGTCCTCTTGGTTGCTCCATGAAGAGTGTTAATTGCTCTAATCTGGTGGGTACAGGTAGTGCACTATTCTAGATGAAGCCAGTAAATCCAAAGAGAACTTAAATATTTAGTTGTTATTAAGAGTGAGATAAAGTAGCAAGAATTTTTCTTGTTACATGTTTGCTCTGGCACATCCTTTTGGTGTTGCAGTTATTTGACAGAAAATGATGACTACCATCTGTTCCCCTCCTCTGTCATCATTCAAAGTTCCTTTTTTCATTGAGAATGAAGTCTTCATAGAGAGATAACAAATTTTGATCTCTTCCTGTTTCCATAGACACAATTAATGACTTATAGCTCTAGGCAAAATGAATTATCTTACATATTCTTATGTACATTTCTTGTATTATAGTTGGAGTATTCAAATTTTGTGGCCAGGGAGTCTGACATTCTAGAAAAAGAGGAAATGGGGAATAATAGAGGAAGGAAGAAGTCTCGTCATAGAGGTAAGAGGGAGTCTGGAATCATGAAGAAAGGAGAGAGACTGTCATCATAGATGTGTGAAGGAGTGTGGCATCATAGAGGAAGAAGGCAGTTTGGCATCCAAGACAAAAAGGAGGAAATATGGAAAAACAGAGGAGGAAAGGAGTCTCATTACAGAGGTAAGAGGGACTGTGGCATCATAAAGCAAGGAGTCTGGCATCCAAGAGGAAGAAGCAAGTCTGGCATCACTGAGGGAGGGAGGGAGTCTGTTGTGATAGAGGTAATAGGTTGCCTGGCATCACGGAGGAAGGAAGGAGTCCAGCACCACAGAGGAAGGAAGGAGAATGACATCATAGAATTATTAGGAAGTCTGGAATCATAGAGGAAGGAGAGAGTCTGCCATCACAGAGGAAGTAGGGAGTGTGGCATCACAGAGATAAAAGGGAATCTGGAATCATGAAGGAAGGAGTGAGTCTGGCATCATTTAGGAAGGAAGTAAGAAAGGAAAGAATCTCTAATAATAGAGGAAAGAGGGAGTCTAGCATCATAGAAAAAGGAGGAAATCTGGAAAAATGAAGGAAGGAGGGAGTCTGGCATGATGGAGGAAAGGAAGGAAGGAGTCCATCATAATACAGGTAAGAGGGACATCAAAGAGGGAGCATGGCATCATAGAGGTAAGAGGGAGTCTGGAATTATAGTGAAAGGAAGGAGACTTAGAAAGGTAAGAGGGATTGTGGCATCATGAAGGAAGAAGGGAGTCTGGCATCACTGAGGAAGGAGGAAAGGAAGGAAGGAGTTTATCATAATACAGGTAAGAGGGAGTCTGGCATCGTAGAGGATGTAGGGAGCCAACCATCACACAGACAAGAGGTATTCTGGAATCATGAAGGAAGGAGAGATTCTGGCATCATAGAGGAAGGAAGGAATCTCCTCACAGAGGAAAGAGGGAGTGTGGCATCGTAGAAAAAAATGAGGAAATCTGGAAAAATAGAGCAAGGAAGGAGTCTCATCATAGAGTTAAGAGGGATTGTGGCATCAAGAAGGAAGGAGAGGATCTGGCATCACAGAGAATTAGGGGAGTCCGGCATCACAGAAGTAGTAGGAAGTCTGAAATCGTAGAGTAATGAGAGGGAGTCTGGTGTCATAGAGGGTGAAGGGAGCCTGGTATCTTAGAGAATGGAGGTGGTTTTGCATCATACAGGAATGATGGAGTCTGGCTTCGATGAGTGTGGAGGTAATTTGCCATCACAGAGGTAAGAGGTGTCTGGCATCAGGAAGGAATCTTTTCATCCGGAGGGATGAAAGGAATCTTATCATAAAAGTAAGTGGGAGACTGGTATTATAGAGGTAAGAGAAAGTCTGGCATCACAGAGGAAGAAGGGAGTCTGGTATCATAGAAGAAGGATAGAGTTTGACGTCATAAAGGTAAGAGGGAGTCTCGCATCATGGGGGAAGGAGCACGTTTTCATTCATGCTGCTCTTACTA